GGTGAAGAGCGTCCGACATAGCGACGACTAGGGAAAGGGGTGTAGTGAGGTTTCTGTTGTAGTGACGAAGGATTGGGGAGGGGGGGGGGAGAGTGCCCGTTGCCAACTGGCGTTCATCTGTCGGTCGCCGATTGCATCTGGGATTACTACTTTTATTCCTGACATATGCCGTAAGTTCTTTGCGATTTCTCCTTGACACAGTTAATTTTAGAAACGACCGATTACAAGCGTCTGTTAAGCCAACGTGAGGATGCGGCAAAATGGTTGGGAATGTTCATGACGGAAGATTCTGAAAAAAAAGCAACTCGACAGCACCTGTCACCTGGTCCCGGAAAAATTCTTTATCATCTCCTAAACGGCAATTTGGAAGTTGCAGCTGAGGAAGCAGTAGATAGCAATTATCCACATCTTGCATGCGCCCTCTCAACATTCAGATATTCTGATCGAACAGCTTACAGAAATCAGGCAAGTGGTGATGATTGTTTTAGTCCGGTATTTTGAATACCATCGTTTTCCGAATAAATGCTTTACGCCACTCCTGAATCTCTTTGCCAGATCTGGATATTTGTTGGGTGACAGCGTTTGTTTATAATATTGAGTATTTTAAGATCATGCATTGGAATAAAACGAAGGAGAGCAAATTTATTAGCGAGGACTTGCTGAAAATATATCTCATAATGGCCGGTGAAATGCACACTGAAATAAACGGCAAAAAAATTTTTGTGAATGAAGGATTGGACGGATTACGAGTAAGCCTTTCATCTTGTTACGTAGAAAATAATGACTGCACGCCGATGTTTCACTATAAAAGTCAAGTTGTATCTAAAATTTTCTTTTTTTACGGCATCTGTATAGTTTTTGTCTTTTGTTTTGATCAATTTTCATCGCATGGTGGTCAGCCTGCTGACTATTTTTACGTTGATTTTTTCTTATGTAGATGTAGAGATTTCCATCTTAACGGCTCTCTCGACAGAAGCATTTAGCATAAAATAGTGCTTTGGAGATGTCTTTGAGCGTGCTTACAACCACCTCGTTCTAAGCATTACGATTCAAAGCCCGCGCGATGAGGTTGATAACTTGCAGGACCAAAGAACTTCAAAACCTTGAATTTAAGTTTCAATATTCTCAAGAATGCGTACGCGGGTGTTACATCTGGTGTATGGTAAAATCTTTTGTGTATTTCTAAAAAATGCAAATCGATTGTTTTTTTCTTTTAGGCTTTTGCTGTGTTCGTTTGGTATTATGAGCCGTTCGATGCGCCCCTGAAAGAAGTTTTTCACGCATTCGAAAACGATTTAGCGGCGAGAAAAGCCACGATTACTTTGAAATGCGATATGTTTTACGAGCTGCTCCATCTAGCTTGTGATCCGTCGTACCCGATGGAAGTTGTTCTGGAACCCACTTGTTCTTCCATGCATCCCATGGATTACCACTTGAGGCTTGTTTTTTTTTTCTTTTTTTTTTTTT